CCATATTAGAGTTTGCGTGTCTATTGGATCATAAAGATTGTTGTCAGAAAAAATCTACCACAGCCAGTCTTATATTATTTCGAGGATGAGCCTATTGAATTTACTACTCATTTGATGAATCATAATCCATATTGGCTATTCAAGCAAAAAGAACTTCAGGTTATTGAGAATTCAGAAAAAATTCAGTATCTACCAGATGAATTTATGTGAAAATATCATACTGGATTTATTAACTTCATTTGTGTTTCAACTAGTAAGCTAGCTCTGGTTGAACAATATGCAAAAAAATGTGATGGTCAATATCTTGGGAGAATAGGACAAATAAATGGCTTTGATATGTATCTTTAGTCATGTGAAAATGGACTCTATCAGTGGAAAGCGTCTTATAAGATCCAAAAGCATAAATTTGAGTGGTGCCCCCTTTGTCCACATTTCAAAGGGAAGCGTTCTGCAAGATATATTTTTGAGAATTTGTTAGGTAAGAAATTTCCATCTTGTAAACCATCATTTTTGAATGGGATGTAATTGGATGGGTATAATGAAGAACTAAAATTAGCATAGAAATATAATAGAGTTCAGTATTTTTATCACAATAGTTTATATCACAAAAATCAAGATGACTTAGATAGTCAACAGATACATAATCAAAAAAAGTAGAATATATGCAAGAAGCAAGATATAGATCTTATTGAAATTCCTTACTCTGCTGATTTATATGAATTTATTCAAAATATTTTAATTGAGAAAGGTTATTTACAGGATAAAAATTAAATTTGTAAGTACTTATCTTAGATGTGAATAAAGATAAAACTCTAAATACTTATCTCATTCAATTAATATTTTTCAGATATAATAATTAGTGACTTATCCAATTAGAATGAAAATAGAAAAGCTCAACCCTGTTAAAAGGATAGTTTTGAATATTGACGAATACAAAAATATAAAGAGATTTAATGGTCTTAATAGTATATCTCAATAGCCATTCAATTTATTAATCAGTGGATGAACAAGATCAGGAAAAACTAACGAAGTTATCAATCTTTTACTTGAAAATAAAATGTATTAATTGTTTAGTAGAAAAAAAGACGGAATAAGATATATTAAAAATGATAATTTGGTTTTGATCAGTCATCAAATTAATGAGCCCAAGTATAAACATCTCCAAGATTGTTATAAAATAATTGCAAATAGCTCCAAATAATATTGTGAAGATGTTACATTCCAAGCAATGAAACCTGATAAAATACCAAAGGTTAATGACTTTTCTCCTGAGAGAGAAACAGTAGCTGTATTTGAAGATGTATGTACCAAACCTAAAAAAATACAAGATAAAATAGCATATTATTTTACTGAGAAAAAGCATAAAAATATCAGTTTAATATATGTGACATAAAGCTTTTTTGACTGTTCTAAACTAATAAGAAAAAATCTCAATTATATTATTCTCTTTAATGGCAATGGGACATATGATGAACTTATTAACATTATCCGATAATATATAAAAAAATGACGTGATATTATCAATATACTTGATAAAAATTTGCAAGGTAGAGAATTTATTATTATTGACTTGACTAGAGTGAAAGAAGACCCTCTTTATCTTTGTAAAGGATGGGACCAACCTCTTAATCTTTCTAATGAGTAGCGTAATTTACGGTAATAAAATAATAATTATTTTTTTTATTATTTATTAATACAGTAATATAAATACATCCCACTCACCACTTTTTGATAAGATAATCGTAGCCAGTCAATTTAGAATTGGAGTGAATGTTTTTGGTATCTTATTCACTACTATTTTTAAATGAAATAGCTATCAGTATCCAGCCTGATTGAAGTTAGAGTAGATGTTGAAAAAATAAATAAATTCTATAGACCCTCTGGATCATAATTTGAAGAATTGCCTAATGACCTACTCTGTAATAGTTTATTTGTACCAAGAAGAATTTTTGTGTCAGGTAAAATAACTATATATAAAAAATCAAAATAAAAAAGTGTTATCAGTCCTTGGGGATAATAAAATAAATTCTAAAGTACTAGTCCTCAGGAATATTTTAGATGGCTTATTTTAAATAGATATATATGAATAAGTTATATTCTGGCAAAGACTTGACAGTCATTATTAAGATATTGATTAGGATTCTCTACCTATCATAACATCACATACCAAGGCCTACTACCAATTAATCTATATCTATTCTGTTGCAATAAATTTACTATATAGTCATATATTCTATAAGTTAAAAGACTTTTCTTGGATTCTGCCCACAATTTAGGACTTTTGAAATGTCAACATAATCATTTTTCATTATAGTTAATGTAACCATAACTATCAGAATGATTTACTTTTTGAGGAGTTATGCCTAAAAACTTCTTATTATTGGAATAATTATCTGTCTTTAGAGAATTCCAAGCTTGAATTGCTAATGATTCAGATCTCTGTTTGTAGTTTTTCCAAGCTCTTTGTATAATTCTTGCTTTTCTGAAATCAATTTTTGATTTATTACATTCATGATCCCAATGTTCCTGCATCAGGTCTTTAGGTTCGAGACAATCAACATACCTTTGTTTAGTAAAATGGAATAATTTTTTAGGATTTACATCATCAATTTTTATGAGTTTCCAGCAATCAAAGCAAATCACCATATGACTTTTGTGAATTCTTGATCTATAATAATTGAAATTGACAAATTTACCTTTACCAAATGATATAAATAAACAATATTGATGATATACACTAAATTTTCCAGCAGTTAATAAATCTTGTAATAGAATTCTTATTCGTATTGCCTATTGAACTGGTATTTCATTCTGTTTTATAACAGATAATATATCAAATAATCTCTCATTATTGAAGAGTTCATCATATTATTTACCATCAAAAGCAAAATAATTTCCAATATATTTTCTGACATATTTCATATCATATCTAGGATGAATGTTAAAAGGTTTGGATAATATTCTATCTTTCTTATCGAGAATAGTTATAATATCAAAACCAGACATATTTATTACTTATAGAGAATATTATATTTAGCAGTTTTAGTATTTTTGGCCTATTAGATTTGGTTCTTTATAGTATAAGAATATATGATTCATTTTTAGTGCAGATCTCAAAGAGTCCTCCATAGGGACTGGAGGTTATTAGATAAGTTATGTATATTTGTCATATTTGTGAGTGACATAATGATAAGAATGGGAAAGATCCATATGAATCTAAAGATTCACCTCTTTGGGATGATTGTTACATATATACTAATTAATTTCCCAGTGTGACTTAATATTCTATTATATGCTAGCGAAACAAAAGACAACTTAGCATACAATAATTAAAAGATCAGGTACTAATCATATCTTTAATTTTTTTTTAAAAATAAATATATTGAGAGTTAGAGGTCAGCTAAGTAAAATATAGAGAAGCAGGATTTCAAGGGAGGAATTAGCTGGCCTTTTAAAAGTTTGATATAAGATATTATTGGAGTTTAGTTACAAATGGTAAAACTAACATTAGATATTGTTAAAGAAATTGCATGTAATAAAGAAGGTAAATGTCTCTCTGAAAGATATATTAATAAAAAGACACCAATGCTTTGGAAATGCTCAAGGGATCATGAATGGATTGCACCTCTTACTAGAATAAAATCATGATGTTCACAATGCCCTGCAAATCGTCCTACTCGAACCAGAACCATTAAAGATATGCAAATACTTGCAGAAAAAAAAGAAGGTCTTTGTCTTTCAATTGAGTATATTAATAGACAGAATCCTCTCGAATGGCAGTGTAAAGAAAGTCATAAATGGAAGGCTTCAGCAAAAGATATTATTAATGGAACTTGGTGTCGGCAGTATCGATTTCTCAATATTGATATAGCAAAAAATATTGCACAAGAACGAGATGGTAAATGCCTTTCTACAGAATATATTAATGCAACTACTCCGATGCTTTGGAGATGTTCTAAAGGTCATGAATGGTCTACAACTCTTTATCGAATAAAAAATATGGGAAGATGGTGTCCACAATGTGCTGGTCATTTTCCTTGTGGTCTTATGGAAGCTAAAGAAATCGCTCACAGTAGAGGAGGTATGTGTCTTTCTACAGAATATATAAATCTCTGTGTTCCGATGCAATGGATGTGTAATAAAGGCCATAAGTGGTTTACAAGTTTTAATTGTATAAAGCATTCTAAAACCTGGTGTCCATATTGCTTAAATAAACATGAAAACTTATGCCGTGAAGTCATAACTAATATTCTTGGCCTACCTTCTGACATCCGCAAACCAGATTTCTTGAAAACACCGGAGTATCCTCATGGACTAGAGCTCGACATCTACTATCCACAATATGGATTTGCCATAGAGGTGCAAGGAAAACAACATGAACAACACGTAAAACATTTTCACAAAAATGATGAAGACTTTAGGGGACAATTAATACGTGATCGGATCAAAAAAGAACTCTGCGAAGAAAATTGGATTGTTCTAAGATATGTTTGATATTATGAGGATCCATATCTAGTCATTCCAAATCATCTTCGAGAGCTAGGACTCATTGAATAAACTCAAAACTTTAAATACTTCATGACCATTACGTGTATTATTTTTATTAAAGAATAATTTACAAAATGCCAGAGATACATGATAACTCTATCTGAAAATGGCCTAATGTTTTTTTTCGAACAACCTTTTCCCTATTTTTTTACGCAATACCAAACCTAAAAAAAGCAGTGTATTATTACATACGTATATCTCAGCGAAAGCTGGCACAGCAAAAAATGAAAAACAATGTTATTACCTTGATCGTATAATTGATGTGTCCAGTACATTAACTTTAGCTTCGTCTCATCATAATATCACTGATTATATTCATCTAAGGATAAAAAAATCGATTAATGATAAAATGTGATAAATGCACAGGTAAAGCTTCGGTGAGAAATCTCTTATCACGTAACACAGACTAAATCGCATGATTTTTGTCGATCGTAGTGTAAATATCTTCCGTTATGACCAATTATTTTCGAAGGAGCGTTTTACCTTCTCGCCTCGTTACCCGTCAACCACTAAAAATTGCGTTAAGAAATTCAAACCCTCCTCTGTTTCTTTCGAGACCTTATACAAATTCCGCTCCTAATGAGTCTGCTTCCTTCGCCTGGAAAAAGAAATGGGATCCAGTACAAATCTATTTACGTTCTATCAACTGGAAACAGCGAATAAGTGGGTTGTGGGGGCTTTTGTGGAGGGGTGGTGCAGTCTTTCTAACGGGAGATCTTGTTTACCTTTGGTGGGTGAGCCAGTCTAATGAGCGACGTGTCAACAAATTCATGGAAAAAGGTACTCGACCGCAGGATACAGTATCGGAGGATAAACTCATTCCTCGGCCTGAAATTGTAGAACGCCTCAAAAAAATTTTTCAGCCGGGTGAAGATCATTCATATTACCATGTTGTTTGTGGTGAACACGGGACCGGAAAGACAACGTTGACTGTAAAGGTGGCAAGAGAAATTGGGAAAGGCGTCATATATGTTGATACTCCTGCCGACATTGAAGAATTTGGCAATTCGTTTGGAAAAGCTCTTAATCTTATATTTGATGAAGATGCCATGTTAACATTACGACTGAAGCGAAAATTTTTTGGCTATACCAAAGGTGAGTTTGTCATTATTGTTAAGTTTATTATCATTACTGACAACTTGCCTCTTTAATTCTGATTTTTAGACGAATTGGATCCAAAGTGGAAGAGAGCTTTTAGAGCCTTTAAGCACGCTTCTGAAGTATATAAAGCGAAGCATGGCAAACCGCCAGTTATCATTTATGACAACATTAGCCGAATATTTAATGAGAACCCCAAAATCCTAGATATCCTTCAAGATGATGCAAAGGATAATGCCGATGATAGTAAATATATCGCTGTGTTTGTCAGCAGTGAAGGTTCGGTGCCTAGAAGAATGGAATGTAAGTACCGATATTATTTTTTTTTGTGCTCTCGAAAATTAGTATTATTTACAGATTGTAATTCTTATTTTTAGCACGTAGTGCCTGGTCACGAGCAGATAAACCGGTGATGGAAATTGGCGATCTCAGTGAAAAGGAATCAATAGATTATCTGATCAATAAGCGCAAGATCAACTCCGTAGAAGCAAAAAAATTATATGAATTGGTTGGTGGGCGTATTGTGGATCTAAAGTCTGTGGCGGGCAAATTTCTAGCTGGTCAATCCTTCGAAGGTATGGATTGGTTTCATTATTTTGCATCAAATGAATTTACACAACTCTTCTTTGGATTAATTGCTTAACTTTTTTCTGCAGTCATTAAACAGCAAATATTAACTGAAGTCAAGAAGAAATTTGGTTCTGCAGGTCTCCTTCGAAATCAATCACATCACGAAGCAGGAAAGCATGTGATTAGTGCTTTGCTGGATTCTAAAGAAATTGATACTGATGTATTTAGAGAATTTTTCAAGGATAAGGAATTCGGTGAAGTTTTAGAAGCTAATGTATTTGCATATCATCCATCAAGAGATACCGTGACCTTTCAGTCTCAATCGGTAGAATGCTATATTCGGGAAAACGCTAGTATATTCGTTAACGCCCCCCAAGTAGGAAAAAGGAAGATGTAATCGATCATATAACAAAATTTTTTATACGATTTGGATTTTGATTTTTTCAAGTACCAAAAAATTAAGAGAATAATCGAAATATATGACATGCTTTCAAGGGAGGGAGTACGCGGATCCTAGGCCATTTAATGCGAGTCCCTGCGTCATATTGTTTCACTGGCTTCACTAAAACTACTAATATTTATTTTTTTCTTATATATAAGATTTCCGAAATAGTAACAATTCCCACTCAATCCAAGCACTATTTTATCTACTTCCTCGATAGGCTCAATTCTTATTTCAGGAGAGATGACACTTCGTGCCTGGACAACAGAATAATATCGATTAATTTCGTTTTGGAGCATTGAGATAGAAGCATTAATTGTTGTGAATTCGGTTGCGACTCTGCCAAAATCGTTATGGTAGTTTTGAAGAACTTGTTCGATCTCATCAAGTCTGGCATCACGATTGGCAAGCTCGGTGGTGATTCGGGCATCACGTGCGGTAAGAATTTCATTAAATGTCGTATCACGTGCAGAAGGGTCGGAATTATGCTTGATGTCGATGTCTTTCTTGGTGATACGTGAAAAATAAAACGAGGCACTAGTACTCTAGCCACGGCAAAAAAAAGTGTCGGTCACATGATTTTCCGACCAATATCCAGCACTCGGCTGTATCACGTTATTACAACTGATGCCGGAGTAATGACACACTTTGCAGATCTTTAATTAGCCAAGTCAAGAAAATAATAGCTTTATTATTAGCTTTACTATAATACTATAACATGTTAAATGATTTTAATTTTCTTTTTTTTCTAGAATTAACGTAATTAAAATGTGAGTTTTTTTTCTTTTGATTTTTCAGTTTCTTGTTGATTATAGGCTTGTAATATTTTCTGGTACTCATTAATCACTTTTATTACTGGCTTCAACAAGCTGTCAAAGGTATTTATAAAGTGGTTATTATCTATTTCTCATTTGTATAAGATAAATACAATTTTCATAGTTTTTTTATAAGAAGCAATCTTTTCTCATCTTTCATTAATTGTATTATATCTTATAATTGTTGATAAGTTAATAATACTTAAGCTTTCTTTTTCAATAAGATTGGTTATTGATGCATCTTGTAAGTTATCACTTTCTTTATCAACTTATATTGAGACTAGAGATTATTTACTGAATTGATCATTAATACTTTATCTTTTCCAAAAGTAAGTAAAGAATAATCATGTTGATGCTTTGTTTTTAAGAAGGTAGGCTGGAAATAGATATCATCTTTTTTTGTAACAAGATGCTTGTAGATAAGATAATGACTGTGAAGATATGCTGGACAAGAACATATTCAGTTATTTACATCAACATGATAGGTTTCATCCATGTCAGGCTGGATTTTCATGGTTATTACTTTTTTCTAATTGATTTTAAAACCATCCCACCATGATAAAAATATCCGATTTCCTTTAAATTGATTCATTTTGAGATCAAAATTGAGTATTAATTGTTCTACAAGGATCTGAGTAAGACAGTCCAGATGTGGTCAATTATAATTATATTTATAGTTATATTTAAGAATTCACTAATGACTTTCTGTAATTATGATAGTTTGCATTAATAGCATGGCAATTAGATATGCTGACTGAGAAAAAAGCTTCCAGTCTTTTTTATTATATCAGTTTATCCATAGATATTTCCACAATTCAGCAAGATTACAGTTGTAGCAAAACTGATAAATTTCCTTCACATAACTTTGGTAGATCTTAGCAGAACTTCAGAAAATATTCTTGGCTATTGGCATGAGTGGATGCATATTCGTGTATCTTTTTACTATGTTCAAGAGTTCTTTGATAGAATCTTCTAGATATAGATTTCTAATATTTCGATTTGATATTCAGGAAGGGTCAATAAAATCAAATTATTTGTGAATCTCTGAAGTTTTTGCTACAGTGTATGCACTTGCTTTTGATTTCTTGTCCTTTAATTATCTGTTAATAGCATGCTCAAGATGTTAATAACACAGCTGAAGATTAGTGATATTTGACCATGTCTCATTCATGGCTGAGATCTCTCCAGCATCTTTGTCAACTAGATAAAATACTGACAATAGATCTATTTTTTGAAGACTAGTAAAAAATCTACAGAGAACTTGTACTTTTGTGTTGATTTAATTCTTGAGATTGTGATGTACTTGTTCAGTACTACTAAATATTGAAAGATATAAGTATGCTAAAGGCATATCATACCCACCATAATTGGTATTTATGACAAAGAGCTCAAAGTGCTCTTGATTAGTTTTAAATGTAGAATCTACAATAATCTCATTTATATTTTTAATGCCAATATAATTGAGCAATAGTATTACAAATCTGAGAGCCTTCACGAAATCATTTTTAACATAATAAATAATTTTAAAACCTTTTGCCACAAATTTGAATTGTTTAATATAAGACTTTGCTGATACGAGCTGATTTTCAGCATCCATTATATATGTCTTCTTACTAAAATGGATGCCTAATAGTATATCTGCTCTCTCATATATACTTCAGAATCGATAAGCCCCTCATTATAAAGATATCTATAAAACTCATGATTTCGAATATTATATTTAATATTTTCTTTAATCTATTCTTTTGCCTTTGTAGGAAACTGGATTCTTCGATGCTGAGGATATAAATGAGCTTCTAGATGTTGAACTTGAACTAGAACATGATGCTATTGAGAGTCGATAATAAGTATAATATTTCCCTCACAAGCATATCTATTTATTGGAGTTTTGGCTTCACTTATACACTTTACTGATTGATTTTCAGATCTTTGCCATTGACAATTCTTATATTGCGTGCAATCAAGATATGCTATTGCATAACTGGCGAATCTCTTCTTTTTGTAATTTAGGTGTATATTACATACTTCTCAGTAATATTGAGATCTGATCTCAATTGCAAAAAGAACTATCTTTGCGAGTTGAAGAAAGTTGTTCTTAGCTATTTCTAAATCAAATGCTTCTGACTGGAGATCACAAGAAATGCTTTCAGCAAGTCATGAATCCAGCTTTACTTCAAAAATCAATCTTACAGATTTATTATTACTTTCTAAATTTTGAAATTTTATACTAACATACTCTGCTACCTCATCTAGGCTATAAAGAAGTTCACCAACATCATTATCATATCAGTTATTTTGAATATCACCTGGATTTGTTGTTTGCTCTTCAATGGGATCATCTTGCTCTGAAAATAGTTCTTTTAAGACAGTGTTAATTTGAGAGATATTAGCACCACTAGCAGTACTTGTACTTTGAATGACTACATTTAGATTAATCTCCAGTTTAGCTTTTTTTTTTTGATATTAGATTTGTATCGATTCCTTTTTTATTCTTGCATCTTTTATAATAATGGTTACAGGTTGCATACTCACGTGTTGGATTATTATGACAGAAGTCTATCATCATTTTTGCATGATAGCAGCTGGAACACACTTTGGATTCAGAGGTTTGAATAGGAACTATTAAAGGAGATGAGATATATATATACTTTTTTTAATCTTTTTTTTTAATACAATTATCATAATCGCTTGGATATTATCTTTAAAATTACTTCTACTCATTTTATTTCTTGGTAACGTAGCTATGTTAAATTATACAGTTTTAATAATATTAGCAAAAATATTTAATTTTGATGCATTTACGCATTTATATTATAGCAATTTGTATTCTGAATTATCTATTGTGAATTGCCCCTTATATATGTGTAATTCTTCTACCAGCAGTTTTTTGATGAAGATCTGCCATAAAAGTATATTGTATTACTGAATTAATAAAGATAAGTTTACAAGAGACTACTAATTATTATAATCTTTTGATTTAATTAGTAGATGATTATTAAATTTGATTTTTATTTTTTAGTGTTAATCTGAAGCTTTTTTTTGCTTGCACTTTCACTTAGGATCACACTTTAGTTCGAATGGTAAGTGAATTTTTTATTTTATTTAGATATTTACAATTATGAAGTTAATTTGAAGCTTTTTATGTGATAAAGATCAATGGATTTGGTACTATCACAGGTGAATTAGAATTTCGTGGATTTGAAGAAAATTGTAAACTGTGATGGTGGGTGGGAGAGAGTGATTAAAGTAATTTTATCATCTATGGATATTGTTCAATATGAATGTTTCCAAAGATAATTATGAGATGGGATAAAGGAAATTTCATGTATTGATTTATTAACTAATCTATTTTTATTCCTATGCTTTTTCTAGCTAAAAGTCTTAAACTTAGATTAATCAAATTATTTGATCAATGATGTGTTTCACCTAAAGGACCTAATCCAAATCATTATCTTTTCTGATAAAAAGAGCCTAACTAATATGTTAGAATTACAATTTTATGACATGATTTTTACAAGTATTTCTCTTTGAGAAAAGGTAATGTATATAGTTTTATTTTTCATTTTCTTGCAATAAAGACCAATGGATTTGGTACTATCACAGGTGGATTAGAGTTTCGTGAATTTAGAAAAAATTATGAATTATGACAGTGGGTGAGAGAGAGTGATTAGACTAATTTTATCATTTATGGATATCATTCAATATGGGCATTTCCAAAGGTAATATGAGGTGGGTAAAGGAGATTTTGTGTATTGATTATTAACTAATCTATTTTTATTCCTGTTCTTTTTCTAGCTAAAAGTTTTAAACTCGGATCAATCAAATCATTCAATCAATGATGTGTTTCATCTTTTTTGAATTAAAAGACCTAATGAATTTGTCATCTTTTTTGGTGGAAAGAACCTAACCAATGAGTTTAAAATTATAATTTTTATGGAGCAATTTTACAAGTATTTCTCTTGGAGAAAAGATTTTGTACGTAATTTATTTCTTTTTTATTTAACAGCTATTCATTTTATACATTTTTTTGTTAACTACTATATTAAAAGTGATACTAATTCTAATTCTATATAATTTCTTTATTACATTAATAGGTTGAGCAACAGTAAAGAAAAGAGTGGCATGGTCTATTATACTGAAGAATGTGAATGATTGTGCTGAAAAATGCTGGGAAATCATCATGATATATATATTATCGACAGCATGTGCTAGAAAATATCCCACTATTGAATTAGCCATCAAACAAGAAAATTATAAGCTAATCCAAGAACGCAATACTGACCTGCAAACCAAACTTCAAACTGCCTAAGCAGAAATTACCAACTCACAGAATGAATTAGCAAACTTGAATTAACTTCTGCCAAAGAGAAAAAATAAGAGGGAGGGAGGGGAAACTGTCATAATTAATAGTATTGACAACGTGTGCTAGAAAATATCTCACTGTCAAAGCTGCTGAATTAGCCATCAAACAAGAAAATTACAAGCTAATCCAAGAATGCAATACCAATCTGCAAACCAAACTCTAAATTGCCTAAGTAGAAATCACCAACTCACGAAATAAATCAGCAAACTCGAATTAGCTTCCATCAAAGGGGAAAAATAAGAGAGAGAGAAGGGAAAACTGTCATGATCAATAGTATCAACAACATGTGCTGGAAAATATCTCACTGCCAAAGTTGCTGAATTAGCTACCAAACAAGAAAATTACAAGCTAATCCAAGAATGCAATACTGACTTGCAAACCAAACTCTAAATTACCCAAGCAGAAATCACCAACTTATGGAATGAATCAGCAAACTTGAATTAGCTTCCGCTGAAGGAGAAAAATAAGAGGGGGGGAGGGGAAATCATCATGATCAATAATATTGACAACATGTACTGGAAAATATCTCACTGTCAAAGCTCTGAATTAGCCACTAAACAAGAAAATTACAAGCTAATCCAAGAACGTAATACTGACCTGCAAATCAAACTTCAAACTGCCCAAGCAGAAATCACCAAACTCATGAAATGAATCAGCAAACTTGAATCAGCTTCTGCCGAAGGGGAAAAATAAGAGAGGGGAAGAGAAAATCATCATGATCAATAGTATCGACAACATGTACTGGAAAATGTCTCACTGTTAAAGCTCTGAATTAGTCACCAAACAAGAAAATTATAAGCTAATCCAAGAATACAATACCAACCTGCAATACCAACCTGCAAACCAAACTCTAAACTGTTCAAGCAGAAATCACCAAACTCATAGAATAAATTAGTAAATTTAAATCAGCTTCTACCGAAGGAGAAAAATAAGGGGGGAAATCATCATGATCAATAGTATTAACAATATGTGCTGAAAAATATCTTATTATCAAAACTCTAAATTAGCCACCAAACAAGAAAATTACAAGCTAATTCAAGAATGCAATACCAACCTGCAAACCAAATTCCAAACTGTCCAAGCAGAAATTACCAAACTCATAGAATGAATTAGCAAATTCGAATTAGCTTTCACTGAAAGAGAAAAATAAGAGGGGAAACTGTTATGATCAATAGTATCTACAACATGTACTAGAAAATGCAAAAAAAATAAGGAGTGTAATGCAATCTTATATGTTGAAAAATACTACAAAAAAAGATACGGATGTGGTTATAAACGTGATACTAGAAGATGCTAAAAAATAAGAAGCTAGAGATTATGCAATATCGTGAAATATTTGGCAGTCAGATAAATTCTCTTTATGAAATCTGGATTATAGGAATAATGATAATAGTACTGGAATTATTCTTGAATTTTCACTCGGGATCGCATATTCATTCAAACTTAAATAGAAGTAAATAGATTTTTTATTTTATTTGGATTTTTACAATAATAATGTTAACTTGAAATCTTTTTTTTGTGATAAAGACCAATGGACAGCTTATTCTATAGAAATTATTTGTGCACCTTTACTTGAAATCACGTATATATAGATAAAAATGATTGCAAAGGCAGGCAAAAACTAAATATACTAAAATATATTGTCATAATTAATTATATAATGTTTATTGTTATAGTATTATAGTAAAGCTAATAATAAAGCTATTATTTTCTTGACTTGGCTAATTAAAGATCTGCAAAGTGTGTTATTACTCCAGCATCAGTCATAATAATGTGATACAGCTGAGTACTAGATATTAGTCAGAAAATCATATGACTGATATTTTTTTTTGCCATGACTAGAGTACTAATGTGGCATCAATGAGTAAGTAAATAGAGATTTTCTTGATGAACATTAATAGGCCTGCGAAATCTAAAAATGAAGTGATCTCTGAAACAGCAAGTGATATTATCTATAAATGGAAATTAGTCATATTAGCATACATATACGAATGCAAAGGAGTGTCATAGCATATAAACAAATAAATAAATCTTAATCATTAGAAATTAGATATTATTTCAAGTATATGAATTTTTTTATTTATTGTGGGTAAGATTTATTAGCAGAACAAGCAAAGTACTAAAAATTGTTAAATGTTTTATTCTCCAAAATCACTAATTATTATAATGAAAGAGTAAAGGGATCTCAGATATTTTTTCTTCACCTTTTTATATAAAAAAATTACAAATCAGAATTTATTTATAGACTTGGATAGGAAAAAATCAGAAATTGTCAGAACTTTTTATTACAAAGCAGGTCTATAGGGATGACTCAGGTACATTTTTTCAAATAAGAGTTATAGGTATTCTCACGCTTTACCTGTCAATTAGATCAATAATTGTCTACTCTTACCTTATTGACATTAACAATCAGATATCTGTTACTCATATCACCAACTTTAATAATTATTACAAATCAATTGATCTTTTAACTAACCTAATTAATTTCTTTTTATAATAGACTCATTTTTGATCTGCATTCTTTAATAATGAAAATATCAAAAAGTATCTTCCAGATTTACTAATCACTTTTACTAGAGTTAATATGTGACTTGCTAATTATTAGGATATTGATTGATTGCATAATACAGATATTCGATTAATATATCACATGCTATATCACAGAATAAAATCAAAAGTTATGGAATTTTTTATGCATAATGTAATCATGTAATCTTCTAACTAACACAAAAGACCAGATTTGAATATTTTCTTTGTAAAGAATGCTTTCAGAAAGAAAAAAATGCAAATACTTTTAGAAGAAGAGTATAGTTTTGTCTTCATTTATAATTATTTTTATTTTAATTTCATATTTGCTAAACTTCATACAGAAATGGAGCAGGATTATAAATACCTTGGTTGGAAGGATTTCAGTGTTAAATATTTGGAGAATAATTGTGACAAAGTCAGAAAAGTACGCTTCACTTCATGATTTAGTTATACAATTAACGCAAATAGTGGGTGATATGGTTCTATGAGTGACATATTTCAAATATATAAGCTGACTTGCGAGAAAGCTTTATGTCATTTCACCAAATCTAGTAGCATTCTACGAGATACTTATGAAGGATTTTCCAAGATTCCTGATGTATGTATTATTTTTTATCCCATCTATAGTATTTTATATAATGATATTCCATCTATTCTGAGAATCAATTTCACACCACCTCCTTACATCTGAAATTTGGATCCTGATAGTCATTTGTGATGTATGAAGAAATTAGAGATCTGATTAAATAAGAGTGTTGAATAATAAGCAGAATATAGAATTTTTGTATATTGACTCCTCTATTTTTATAGAACAAGTAAAGAATGCAATATATATCAATAGTAGAGGCTATGAAATCAATAGTTGACTGAACTATTATAATTCTATTTTAGAAAAACTTATTATTGATACTAATATATTTTATACATTTCAGGTTTTTCTTAAATTTGTAAGTCTAACAGAAAAGAATCTTGTCTTTTCGAACAAGAAAAAAATTGGAAAATGATTGGTAACATATTTATATTATGGGATTTATGGTTTTTTTTTTGCTTATTCTTACTTGATACTTTTGTAAAACAATTTAATCCAAAATAAGACATTCTATTCATTACTATTATATGAGTTGAGAAACCTCTTTGAATCCTTCGATACCAGCAATATTGAATGGAATGATCTATTTAGTTTTGGTTGTATTGTTGATCGAAACTCAGACATAATTTTTGAAAAGTTGCCAGAAGAACAAAAGAAGAATTTGAGAGAAATTATAAATTTGGCATATGATCAAAAAGCTTGAATAAAAGGGAAATGATGGTTTCACTCCCACCTATACCAGCAGATTTTCAAGGAAATGATAAGAAGTTTAAAGATATATGTGTGATGCATAGGATTATAGACTCAGTATAGATAATTAAGCTTCTCTGTCTTGATAATTAACCAATTTTTAATACTCTTATTCTTATAGCCGACATATCTGGTACTACTTTAATGATGAAAACAAGGCTGAATATACTGAGGAGACATATATCATCTGCATAGTGTCCAACTTTCTTAATTCACTATTTTGCTACAAAAATATCAAACTTAAAATCATCTGGTAAAGTTTTAGATAATATGTAAAATATGAATTTTTACCAGAGATGGTCACATAATGACTATAATAAGTTTTACATACATAATAACAGGACCGAAGAAGTCTTGGAGACATCTCAATGTCAGATGGATAATTCTGGAGAAATCAAAATTAGACACAAGCCCAATTTTTATGTGAAATCTCTACTGATTACCAGTAAAGTGGAAATCTGTCTTATGGAGACCTCACATATTCTTCTGACTAATAAAAAGATCTGTGATGATTAGGATAAGTTGATCAAGCTTATGAAAGATACTTATGTGCGATTACTGAGAAAACTCACTAGAGAGAGGGTTGGAGATGTAAAGGAAATAGAAGAAGATCTTAACAGAATACCAGTTTTTGGTATCCAAGTTGCTGGTATGTAATATCACAATTATTTTTTTTTACTCAAAACTAACCATTTCTACTTTAGGAGAAACCATGACATGTTGGATTATGACTATGCTATTTGGAGTCTTTTACTTTGTTCAACATCTTGATTCAGTACAAATTCCTATGAATCGAGACCAATCTTCACTTGCCAGATTTATGGATGAATTATGGAAATTAAGGATAAGACTATTGAATGTGGGAAGTTGGATAAACAAATTCCTGGTTAATTAATAGAATTATTTATAGGTGTCTCTATAAAACCATATTCACACCCTTACTAAGATTGTAAAAAAAGTTAATACATCCTTATATAATATAGCTTTTTATTTATCACAAGTTCAAGAAGACGTACCTCTTTATGATAGTGAGTTAGTAATGTCATGATTACCATAACAAGATCTCATCAATCCAGATATTAAAAAAGATAATGGACTCCTTTACCATTAGGTTTCCACCCAATAATAGGTAAGTATGAAGATATTATATAAATTAACATGTATTTTTATTGTATCGGTCATGGCTTTGCTAATAAAGAATTCAAGTTGAGAATATTATATATTATGTCGATATTTTCATGTGGTGTATCTTGTATTGGGGTAAAAAAAGTTTATACATCAATTTTTCTATACCTTAATATGAGCTTTGCTCTTAATGTGATGCATGGAACATGATTGAGTATTGAGTTGTACATTCTTGAAATAAATTATATAATAACCTAGATATAGAATGACACATTATCAATAAACTAGCTATCTTTCTATCACTTAGCTATGTATGTTCTGTAAACTTCTATATCAATCCTGATGTGATCTGATTGGTTAATAATTTTCTGGTTTTTTAATTATTCTGATTGGATAGATCACATCAGAAATTAGTAGGAGGTTATTAGGTAATCATCATATACATACCCTTACTGATTACATTTCCACATTCTTTTTGTGAAAATATACGCTATTCATCTTAAGTAGGATATCAGCTTCTTATTTCATGAGATGACTTATCAAATAGTGTTGCTTTTAATTTCTCTGGTTATTAGTTAATATACTACAAATCTTTATTCCACCACTAACTTCTATGATAGATATAAGTAATCTAACCAATAAGTAGAAAGAAGAAGCTATATTGAAGGAAATATCAACTATGAAAAAATTATTACGAGAAATTCACAAATGGCAAAATAAAAGACTTAAGTGGGAACATGAATATGGACATGAATAAAATAGACATCCTCACGTACTAGAAGATATAGCAACTAACTCTTCTATCAATTTTGATATTATATTCAATCCATCGAGGATATATTTATTTTTATGAATTCTTATGAATCTTTAGATTTGAGAATTAGATTTTTATACTGATAGGAGAATTATCTAAGTTACTTATCATGAGTTTGCTTCAGCAAGTTGTGGAATTCAACAGGGTTATAATTGTCATACTCCAAAGTGAAGATAATAGCTCAGTACTTTGGTAAGAATAATTGGTCCACTCCGCAAAATATGCAATCCTAAGTAATCTAAAACCTAAAAATAGAATATTGGACTTTTACTTTGTTATTTACTTGATTATTATTAATATTTTTTATCAGTAATACTAGCACCGAATCCAACACAAAATCAGAGAATTATGCATGCATGATAAAGTCTATTACCTTAAAAGGGAATGGACAAGTATTCCTATCAATTTCAAAGATTATGTGTCATCTAAAAAAAATAAGACTTAACAAGATATTTCTACTCAAGATTTACTTGTTGAAATCTTAATCTGAGAGGCAAAAATTAATAATAATGATCCCAATTTATCTAAGATTCCTTTAAACTTTCTCATATTGGTCGATGTAGATATAATTAGTGAGGTAGATGAAATAGATGCAAACTTATCATCCATCAGTGATAATGACAATCACTTGTGAGTTGTTTTTGGATGATGATTGGATTTCAAAGAGTCAATAAAGTGAAGAGAGGTATAATGATATCTTAAACATAAGTAGAGAAAACTTAGACATATCCTAGACTTGTGAAATAACGTAAATTTTTCAACTATAAATATCAATCAAAAAAAAAGAATGCAATTAATTATATCAGCACATAGCAATTTTCGATCACTAGAAAGACTTATGCAATTTCAATATATAGTAGAACCAGAGTGTATCATTGATAGTGGAAATAGAATCTTATTACATCTTGAAAAGTTAGATAATCCATCTGCGATCACAGAAGCTGTAAATGTTATCAATTACTACTATCTTCATATACTAAATAATCTATCATATCATAACAATGAATTTTGGATAAACTTTATTGAATACTTTGAAGTATATACGTAAAATAATCTTCTTCCTTTCACTAGCTTAAATACCGCAAGCTCTCATAATACTAACTATCACGAATATATTAATGATCTCCTTCACTCTTTAAAGCCATTATTAGATTATATTAATAATTTTATTCAATATAATTATACGAGGTTATATAAGAAACTATTCAAATTAAAATAGAAGCCATTTGGATCTTGACTGTTTAATATTTTTCCTATGATCACAATCAATTTTAATATGATTAGTAATTACCACTGGGATGAAAATGATGAACCAAATTCCTTATGTTGCTTGGTCATATTAGATAATTTCGAGAGAGGTGAACTTTGTTTTCTATAGCTTCAGATCGTAATTCTGCTAAGGCCAGGACAGCTTGTGGCATTCTCATCACGTTTCTTATTATATGATAATCTTCCAATCACAAGTGATATTTGATACAGCATCATATATTTCATCTACAGTATCTTCTTCCATAATATATATAATTTTTCTTTGGTCTATAGTGATCTTGAGAATGGAATTGAGCAAAATGTAAATAGATCAATTGTTCCTATAATTTCTCAACAAGACTTGAATAATGCAAATAGATTAAACTGCATAATCAAACTTGAAAAGCCAAAAGTCAATCAAATTCAAGTTTCACCATCATTCACTGATTGTAGGAGAGGATATATCAGTAAGTTATTCTGTAATTAACTATACAGATTAAAAAATAGATTAATAATGGGTTATTTTCTTAGATCTAAGGTGAGCATGTTGTGAATTAAAGATCAAGAATCCATTACCTAATGGGGTATAGTTTGATTCTTATATAGCGAAAATAATTGGCAGTTTTAAAATATAAATATATCAGATAATCACTTGTTAAATAAAGATTTTTGCGTGTAATCGTGATTATTTTTTGTATTAATTGAATATATTTTTATTTTATAAAAAATAAAATCATTGAGAAAACTAAATTCTAGGCTTTTATCTGATATTGATAAACTTAGGAAGGAGAATGATAATGTTATAGCTGAGAATATCAAACTTAAAGCTAAGAACATAAAATTAAAATAATCTTTAGAAGAGCATGAATTCAGATTTATAAAACTGGAGCAGAATGATAAAGATACTGCTTCAGAAAATGCCAAACTTAAAGCTAGAGTTACTAAATTAGAACAAAACCAATCTCAAAATAATGAAAAAAAGAGTAACTCTAATATAACCAAATTGAAAAATTCTAATGATATTTCCAAATAGATAGATGTACAAACTAAGGATGTTTTGATATCTGATATATCTGATATTACTTCAAATTCTGATATACATCAGAAGTTTTTATCTCAACCAGAGACTGGTTCATATAAAAATTTCACATCACTTACTTGCACAGAGATTAAATCATCGGAAGATAAGGAGAAGAAGCTTCAAGAACAAGAGGTATCATTAACTCTATTATCTAATAGTTTACAAAATTGCATAACTGAAATTTCAGCCGGGATGCCCCTACCAAAAAATAGTCATAGGAAAAAAGGGACAGAAAGTATTTCTCAAATAATATCTGATGGTATTCAAAATGACACATATAAATCTACTCTCAGTTCTTCTAATAATATTTTATTACAATGGAGTCAAATTTCTTCTATAGTACCATTGCTTACTTTAGCTTAATTATTTAATAGAGTAACTGATGCTGAATATGGTGCAATTTGTACGAATCAGAAAGAAATTTTATGCTGGTATTATTATAGGAAAGAATTTATAACTCAGGTTAACAAAATTATAAAAAATTGTAAAGTTAGTGAGAAAAAAGTGAAAGGAATTATTTATGATAAAATATTAGAAGACCTTTCCATTCTCCGTAAAAAGAGATCTGAAGATACAGGTTTGCAACTTCTAGAAATTTCATGTAAATACTTGCAAGGGAAAACTCAGAAAGCTGTAAAAATATACAAATTATTTAAAAACTTAGGTATAGATAAGATCAAGTATATCACAACTTATAGTGCTAATTCTATCTTGGAGTTAATTAATGATAAAATTAAAGAAATCATAGATAATTTCTTCAAGCAGAAAGACGAATCTCCAACTCCTGAAAATTTATCCAGAGCTTCCTGTCAAAATCAGGAAGATACTATAAGTGAGGATAACAAATCTCCATCAAATACTAAGATAAGCATACCTACTAAATCTCAAATTTCTGATTTTTCTAGCTCTGAATCAACCCAAGAAAATAATCAAGTTGAGACAAAGACTCGAAACTCTGCTTTCTCAAAATTACTAAAAGCTGAAGTAAGTATATCTACATCTAACCATCTTGTGTCTGCCTCTGATAATAAATCTCAACCTTTAATCTCTATTTTACCTGACAATCCAGAAGAGAAATGAAAGTCCATTATTGATAAAGTGCTAAAGCAGTTCCCTTATTTATCTTCGAAATATAGCAGGCCTGAAAGAGTAACCCTAAAGGGTCATAAAAATTATGATTATTTTGATTTTAATAGTTCAGTATCCTGTCCTATATGCAATAAAGACCATAAAAAAGAAAATATAAGAGATAATATAAAAGGTGAATGAGATAGTGGTAATTATGTCAATATAAGAACTTATCGTCTGCAATGCTGTGAGGCCTATCAAAATTTAATCCAAATAGTAATGGTAAAAGTATAGAGTAATAAGCATGTAGGATAAATATGAGATCACAGACTTTTTATTTGACATATTTTATGAGATACAGAGTATCATTTCTCCAAAATACTTCTATATTGATCCTACCTATGATGTGATTGATTGATAAATTTCTGACCATTAATGGTTTTTAATTATTCTGATTGGATAAATTACTACTCTGAAGAATAGGCCCTATTATGAAGCTTATTTTTATGATGTTTTTGGATAGAAGAAATAACCTTTTTCTTTTTAACATGAACATGATTCTTTTGGAGATTTATCTGATTGAGATCATACTAGTCTGAATCCGTGGATTCTAAATCAGAGCTGGATGATTTAGAAGGATCTATCTAAGATTTTATCCATGATAGCTTTGCTTTATTTATACAACTTAATTCATACTTAATAATATGAAGTTTTTTAAAAACTCTATACTCTATATTATTTTCTATAGAATGAATCAACTTTCAAATATTATTGAGGTATGTTTTTATTAAAA